CTTACATCCATTTATTCTTAAGAGTAAAATATGATCAAGATCTCATTCTGGCCCATGTCCTACTGTAGCATTGGTATCTATAACATATGTGAATGTCATATGGAAAGTTTGCAGAAATTACCCAAGAAAGATGCTGTTGGATATCAGGCTATGCTATTCAAACACTAACTATTTTTTATGAACGTTAACTCACCTGAAGCCTGAGTGGCTCCAACTGCAGGAAAACTGGTCTGTCTTTTAATTGATTTAGCTTTTGATTCATTGAACTACTTTTTGACATCCTGATGACAGGATCTATGAATTGGGTAAAGTACAAAACAAAAATGGTTTTGCTACATCATTCAGGAATCCTTAATTTCCCTGCATCTATATATTTTTTTTTAAATGCAAACATATGTGGGAGAAATTTCTGTTTAAGTTTCTCTCTATTTCTCTACAACTGGTATAAAGCATTAGAAACACCATCCAGGACTAGAGAGCCCAAACAAAAGGCTCAAAGGAAGAGGGACAGGGCAAGAAACCTCATTGATGTGGGCCAGCAAAGACTTACAGGAACTCGAGAGTTTACATGATGTGAAATCTTAACATTATACTTTCATTTCCCATCTTTAAACTTATTGCAATCCAAGCTTGTGTTTTTGTATGTTTTTCTCTGTTTATGTTGAGACTAAAGGTTTCTCCGGGTTTCCCCTGAGGTTTGGAGGCCTGGTAGGAATCAGTGGGGGATTCCTCAAAGTGGTGAAGTCCTATAAATGTCCATATCTATGTAGAATTTAGCATATAAAGTTGCTTATTGTGGAAGTATCAATAAGAAAAGGAAATATCTATAAACATGTACTCAATAATAACAGTTAAATATGAATAAAGACATCCTATAAGTTTTCAAGATTCTAAACACATAAAGTAAAAAAGTAAAAAAAAAAAAAAAGGAAATAAAAAAATCAGCTCAGAAGAGACATTAAATGCAACACTTTTTACTGTTGTACTTTTAAGCAAATCACCGCAGCTTGAAATCACAAGTTGCTGTATTTTATGGAGTCTAATTATAGCTCAGATGTTCTTACAGGATGATAGACAAATGGATAATTTTGTATTGTTCAGTCAAATTATGAGAAAAAGGGTTTAGAAAATGACTTCATCAATCTATCCATCAATTGAATACAAAAATGATAGAGATTCATTAAATAACCCATCCAATCATTGGGTGACTTAATGCCTCAAGAATTATATTTTGAAAAGCTATTCCATTTTTGAAACAAACACACATTTTATTATTTTCATTTTTTTTAATAATTTACTCAATCAAAACAAGAAAACAGATAAACTGTTAATCATTTCCAGATTTTCTTGCAGTTAACAAAAATGAAAGAAATGGATAACAAGCTTAAAATTTCAGTTTTTTATCTATTCTATGAGCCCAGTTGTCTGACAATGGAAACATTTTTTTTTTTTTACATTTTTTAAGTGTGTAGCCAATCGTTATCCTATTGACAGATTTCTCACTTGTGCATCTGAGTTGTTCATCAACTGTTGTTAACTACTGTAGTCTTTGTTGGGAAAAAACAAGTATTAATGGTGTTGGGAAAACATACTGGGAGAGGCTCTTGTGTTTATAATTTTAAGATTAAAACTGAATACAGAGTTCATTTGCACCTCCTCAGCTGACAGGATTCTAAACAGAGTTCAACTTTGAAATATTTCTCAGAAACCTTGCAGACTTATGATGTCAGAAGAGTAGAAAGTTTATACCTAAGACCTGGAGCAAAGTTTTGGTTGGATGTTGTAAACTTATTGACTTAAACATGTCATTAAAACTTGTTAAAAGCACTAAAGTAGAGTAAGATTATATCTAACATTAATTTACTTTGTTGATACTTTGAGGCTTTTACTGTATTAGAAAACATTTCACCTCTGCTTGTGTGGCTGCAGCAAAACAGCCCTCTGTAGTGAAAGCCATTTAAACTGCTTAGGGCAGATTAATAACATTATCTGTTTAATATGGCTACAGTGTGTTTGTGTTCAGCTGTGCTTTCAGATGAATTAAGGCATGTCCCATTACCTCATAAAAACACAGGGAGGCTTTCTTACCTGTTTTGATTACTTGCATACCTTGTCCCTACCTACTATACGATAAGAGCACAAAAGATATATCCCGGGAGATATTCAATTTAGTACTTTTGTATTTATAGATGGACTTACAAAGAAGTTTGACTCACCAGGACAAGTTGCTTTAACCTTTTCCTTTACCTCACTCCCACAATTACTCGCAATCTTGCTTTACAACCTTAACTTCTAGATTAAAAACTGTGGATTTTTTCTTATAACCAAGAAAATAAGCAGGAAAGTAATAATACCAATGGCTGGTGATGATTTCTATTGTTTTTATTAAAGGTAACAGTTTGCCGAAGTTCAAACCGTTTGATTATTTAATTTTTCTTTAAAGGCTACCTACAGACATTAAACACTGTAAAGTTACTGAACTAATTTATTGCATGTTGCAACTGGATCTTATTTCGTTGCTTGTGCAGAATAAGCTCACCAATTTAGGGGTCTGTTTCAGCCTCACACAGAAGTCTTCAAGTGTCTTGGTGTGTTGTACCTAAGTTATCCTTAGAATAAAAGTGGGTTGTCATATGAAGACCTCATTTGCATTTATGTGAGTAAATGCTCCAGGTTATTGTGAGGTATGTGCTAATCAAAAAACTTTCAATGTACTGTTCTACTTATATCTCAATGACCTGCAGTATGGCTCCTGGGCTCTTTGATCATAAGTCATATGAAAATGTCTTATGACTCATAATCTCAACAGAGATCTCAATAGCAAACCATGAAATTAACTTCTTCTTCATTTCCTACTATATGAAATAAGCAAGATTCACTTGCAAGTTTTAATAAAGGCCTGAGTTGTGTTGATCCTAACCACACTTCCTGGTGGGAAAACTATCTTGGGAATGTGTTACATTACTTGAAATAATGATAACAAAATTGATTAAAATTAGGCAGGACAAACCCCAATTTGCAAGGAAAGTTTCCTTGTATTCTGGGAAGTTACTCTGATGGGAGGGCAGTTTGAATTTCCCTCCTAGACCTGTTGTCCTTGTGAAATTATCTCAGTTAAGTAGAAAACTAGACATGGGGTAATGTCTTCAAAGATATCCTACTTTGGATTGGTTACAAGTATCTAAGTATCAAGTATCTAAGTATCAAGTAAGCATTACATAGCTTGATTTTTTTATTAGATACCTACTAGTAAAGTAAAACCACCTCATTTAAAAAGTTTTCAAAAAACAATCCACTGAACTTTGTTTCCAAGTTTGAAGAAGTTTCACTAAACTAAAACTTCATGAAAACAATGGCAAGAAAATTCAAAGGGTGTTGATAGACAATTAATTCTATGTTTATTTTTCGTTATGTGGTCATAAAAAGTTTGTTATACACCCTGCAGTTTCTTTTGGAGCAACGTTGATCTACTTTAGGCTGTAAATCGAAAACATCCCGGATTGCCCAACTGCTCTCTGTATGCTTTTTTTCTTTTCAGAATAGTCCCTACAGTATGTCACATGAATCATGTGTCATTTCTTGCTGCATTGCCACTGGATCTTTTATAGCCCCAGGTCAAAACAAGCTGTAACACTCAATCACAATCCTTTGGAATGTCACTAGAGAAAACTAGCAGTAATTGGTCCCTGTGTGCTTTTGGTTACCAAAAAATTATGTAGGAGCAATGTTAGATTTTTGTTTGCACTCACAAAATAAGATCCTCAATCTTGGTCAAATATTTTCTAGTTTACAAAATAACGGTATATACTGATGTTAAAACTAAAGAAAAACAACAATCATACAAAGGCTAGAATTTAGCTAGCTGTTTAATTGAAATTTAATACTTTATCAATTCTAAAGGAAAATTAAATGTTGTGGTAACTCATAGCTTTTCATTGTTTATTTTTTTTTCAACGAGTTGTTGTATGATATTTTTAGATATAGAAGAGTTTATCCCCTGAGTTTTCCAGCCTTCATTAAATTCCTGCAAAAAGACACTGGAGTCACAGATATGATCCTGCAGCCATGATTCCATGAAACACATAATACGGCATTCCAGATATTATGGCTATGACCTTGCTTCAAGTTCTTCTACCTTGTTTCCTAAAGATCTGACATTGCTATAAAGATTTAAGGAAAAGGTGGCTTGAATTTCCTCCTCTCTTGGGACTTGCATAAGGAGTTGTAGTATTATTGCAGCTACCGGTATATAGATGTTTATGAGCTGGCCTGGGTTGAAAAGAAAACTTACTAAAGTTGTTATGGTTATGTTCATAACAAATGGCTAAAAATGAAATAATTATTCGCAAAACATGACAAAGCATACTTTTACCTTAACAGTAAATGACTAAATAAAAATACCAATTTATTATATATATATACATATATATATATATATATATATACATATATATATATAGATACGTATATATATATAGATACATATATATATATAGATACATATATATATATATATATATAGATACATATATATATAGATACATATATATATACATATATACACACACACATACGTTTCTCTCACTTAATCAAAGAAATTATTACACACTGGAGCTTTAAATACAACAGTAATTGCTATCTATACAATATTATTCTGTTTTAGGATTTAAAAAAACTTTACAATATTAAAATTGTCAAGCATGCAATTTTAATATATGCACTGATCTTGCACTGATAAACTGAACTCTTTCACTAACTGCTGTAAATCCTACCCTATACACATTAGATTAATTAGGAAAAATTATGCTTTCCTGAAGTTTCATATTCCTTAACACACAAATGTCTGTTTAATCAAATATATTTATAAAATATTAACTGCATTGAAGTTCAAACTCTGGGTGATAAGTTAATAAATTAAGTAAAAAATGCATGTCATTCTTTACTGTATCTCTGTTATCTACATCTAAGAATTTTTAAACTAATTTCTTGGGTTCCTACAGGCAAGGTGACTTGTCAAGATGATCCATCAACTCCCTCACCCTCAGGTTCTGCAGATATGGTTAAAGGTGATGAGCAATTTGGAATAACAATGCAATTTTGAAACTTTCAAAGGCCTCTTGGAAACCTGAGCTGTTGTTACTAATCAACAGGGGCTACTGTATGGCATCAAGTGACAAATCCTATTTCTGCTTATGTCCACAGGAACTACTGCCCCTAATGCTGTAACTGATAGCCTCACAGGTAAAGCTCTGTCTGATGAACCAAGTGTGGATTCTTCAGCAGTTGCTTTTACTTTAGCTACTGTCCCAGCAACCTTGAACCCTCTGGAAGATAACACTTTTGAAAACACATCTGAACCCATTGTTGTTATTACACTACCGTCTAAACCTGTTCAACCTGTTAAGGTAAGGCTCATGCTCATCTTTCCATTTCAAGGCTTTACCACTGTAAAGAAGAACTTGAAAAATCTTTTTTAATTTTTCTTTCAGGCGCGACCGTGCCAAGTTGCATGTGTTGGAAAAGGGGATATTCCTGAAGAGAGGGCTGTCAAGATTAAATTAACTGAAAAAAAACCCTGTGTGAGTTGATGTGTCTTTTTCACACCTCCTTTAAATGTCTGTACTGTCTGCCAACTGTAGATAATGTACTGTATCAAATCATGTAAAAGTATCAAACATCTGATTTGAGCAAAGAAAATAAATTACAGGGAAGATTAAACTGTGCTGCGAAAAGGTGCATCTTAAGCTGTGTGCAGGTGGAATACCTGGACTGTTATAAAACGAGTTTTGTTCTTGAAGCCAGGATTGATAAATATTTCAGAATGCTATGTATTCTTCTTCCTGTTGGATTATTTTTATGCACTTTTATGTATATTTTGTGAGAAACGTTTTACGTATGCAGGATTATTACATCAAAAGCTACATAATTTGTAAGTATATTTGTGGTTTGTTACGTTTCTGGGTATTATAATTGCAGGCATTTCAGATCCTCTGTAAATCGTACCCTGTTTTACTTTAGGAATCTACTGAAACGAAGTAGATGCTTTAATTTTAGTGTTTAAATACTGGGCCAGGCATAGCTACAAACTTTTAGTCAGATATTCCTTAGATGTTGTAAATCTTGAGAAGCTGGTTTAAAATATTTTAAAGAGGAAAGCTTAGGAAGTTTAGGTTTCAGGAATTTTTCTGGGAGCACTCAAAAAACATGTGTTTCATTGCAAGTTTTAACATTAAGATTTTTGAAACACATCTTCTGTATTTTATGTAAAAGTCAGGTGTACATTTCTGTGTTTGGTGCTGGATCCTTATCTATAGTCATGTTTTCGTCATCTAATTACCTGTAAATGGAAACAAAAATTCAGTCCTTTTATGTTATACCTCAGAAGACTTTAATAGAAGCCCTGCTTCTATTAAAGGTAAAGGTAGAACTAATAGTTACACAAGGAAGTAATATTACTTACTAAGTTGGGGTAAATAAAAGGTCCAGTCAGTAAGTTTTGGACAGGAATTTGTCTTACGGTGTGTTAAAGTTGTGTGTGAAAGATGTAAATCATGCTTTTTCCTGATTTAGTATTTAAAACTTTGTAATTCCCTTTTGTAGTATTTAGAAAAAAAATTAAGTTAATGAAAAGCATTTTTTTAAACAGGAATTCATGCTTTTTGTTTTTAATCTCACAGGAAGAAATTAAAGGAATTTTGGTGGATTTCTCGACACAATGGTGCTCACCTGAAAATTCTAATCTGAATATCTTCCAAGATGACAGCACAGTCTTGATGGAATTAAATGGTGGTAAGTAATTACAGCATAAAAAAATAATAATTTTAAAAGCATAAGAAATATCATTTATCCAGGTCTATGCTAGTTTACTTAATAGATATTTATAAACTTTTTTTTTCAATTTGCAGATCCTTCTTTGGAGGAGACACTCAGTATTAAATCTTTGAAAGACAGGGTAAGGAAGATAATGACACCATCATGTTCTTTACCATTTCTCAAAATATTGTCCTTTTTTTGCTATAATTATATTAATAATAGTTTATTATTTCACTTTATATTACTGAGGATACATTAAAATTATTTTACAATTATAGGATGGCCACCAAGTACTAATTTTTATTTTTTTTTATTAAAAAATTGTTTCACCTCTTTTAATCACATTTTAATTATCTATTTTTCCCAATAATTGTCCTATTAAACTTATAGTTGGGTGTAGCGGAAAATAGCAGTCCATCATCATCCAGTTCTTCTTCTGTATTCGTGGGAATACTGGTCACTGGTCTCCTGGCTGCCCTCGGACTCATTGTTGGTTACTATAAATGCCAACGGAGGCCTGAAACCAAGGGAGCAAAACTGGTAAGAGAGTTTTTATTTGTTTTTAGTTAAACATTGTACCCTTAATGTATTGAAGTGATCTAGCCTTAATTCTAACAGTATATTTCTGTTCACGAACACACAAGAATCCATCTTATACCACTTCTGCTTAAACTTCTGCTTAAACAACCCAAAATGGGTTGACTAGTCATGCTACAGTATTATTGTTTAAGCTGGCACATGAAGCTGTGACAAAAACAAAAGCTGGCAAGCCCGCAGCCCAACCAAATATAAACATGGAAGCACAGAAGAAAGCACACATAACTAATGCAGTCAATTCTATTTGGTCAGAATCTATGATTTCCTCTTAGAAAGAGAAATGGCAAGAGAGTAACAGCATTTCTCTCTGCTGACATTTTATTTCTTACAGTTATTAGCTTTAGTAGGCAGGCACTAAGTGTCGTTTTCCTCTATCAGCTTGAAAAGTTTGCCTGAACATCCCTTCTTTCACCAAACAGATAGCAATCCCAGATTAGCAATGAGAGAAACTAAACTTGAGCACATAATTAATCTGGTCTGCCAGGTTAGTGTTAAAGGGTTTTAGTATAAGTTAAAGTTTTATGTAACATGTCACACTAAATATAAAAGAACATTTTTAAATTATGAGCACATGTTCTCGTACTTGTCTTCTTTCACTTATCTGGGCAGATGGGGCCGTAGTCTCAGTAGAGACTCCCAGACTTCCCTCTCCCCAGACATACCTGTAATGTTCCGGCGGGATGTCCAGGGAGCACCTGGAAAAGATGTCCAAGCCACCTCAGCTCACTCCTCTCGATGTGAGGAGAGGCGGCTCTTCTCCAAGCCTGTCCCGGCAGACCGAACTCTGCCCGGGCATCCTGTAGAGACAAATAATTTCATCAGCTTGTGACGGATATCCCGTTCTTTCCGTCATGATCCAGATTTCTTAGCCTTAGGCGAGGGTAGGAACATAGACCGAAGTAAATTGAGAACTTCGCTTTTTTGCTCAGCTCCATCATCACCAAAACAGACTGGTTCAGTTTTCACATTATAGTGGCAGCCACACTGATCCATCTATCAATCTCCCACTCCATCCTCCCCTGACTCATGAACATGACCCCAACACACTTGCACTTCTACACTCAACCAGGAATTCTCCTCAGACCTGAAGGGAACAGGCCACCAAGAAACACGGCTTTGAATTTGGAGGGATTGATCTTTATCCCTCCCGTTTTGCTTTATTCTACTTTACAGCAATATAGTATGAGCTGGGAAAAAAAACAAGAATTAATGCTTATTTAACTACCTACTTGAAGTTTCAACAAAGTGTTTTTTTTTTATGAATAATTAAGTTTTCCTCCTTTTTGATTACACCTATGACTTCTTTAAAATCTCTTTCTAAATACAGATCTGTATTCGAAAACTCAAACACAGTAACGCTAGAATTTTTAAGCTAGTTTTTTTTTTTTGCACTAAATATTTATAATAAAAGAAGCAGTGTTGTTTTTCTTGTAGAAAATGTCTGGCGGTGTTTTTTTATTAGAGAATGCACTGGGCCAGCCAACAGAGAAACTGTGCAAAAAAAGACAGTGCTCATCATCCAGAGACCCACGCCCTGCACTCCGTAGCCTTATGCATTTGTAATGCTGATCTAGATGCCAGACCCAGCTGTTTTCCTGCAAAACTCACATCACATAAACACATGCAAGGAAGCATATTTTGTTTGTGGGTATTGCTATTCTATTAGTGTAAACACATATGTGTCTTTGTGTGTTTTATGTAAACATGAGAAATGCTTCATCTTTGATCTGCTTGGTCTGTGTACTCACAGTTGAGAATAAAAACAAGTGTAGTTTCCAAAGATTTGCAATTCTCATTATGACAGTATCATGATTTATTTAGCAAACACAGAAGAAGTATGAAAAAGTTCCCTTAATACACCTAATTATTAAAAAAGAAGACTGAACCTCATTTGTAAACAGTCCCTTATTCTACGAGTTTATTGGTTTGTCAATATTGTAGGCAAAGTTTCACCCAAGATATATATTTATGATATTGCATCAGCTCATTAAGGGTTTTGATATGGTCTCTAGAGGATACCAAAACAGAGCCATAGATGAACCAAATTGATCTAAACTTCAGTTGTTTGAAAGATGACCAGAGATTTGGCTCTATTTGGTGTACAGGGGGCTACGTATGACTCTATAGGAAAAATATGTTTCTTTCCAAAGCAACGTTTTTTTAACTTATGCTTTTGTCGTAGTTAGGAACATATGTCACCTAATATCACTTTAAGCAATACAAAAAATCAAGTAATAAAACAAGGCAATAAAAGTAAAAAAACTTCTCAAATGTTACTTGAAATGCAGTTTCAGGAGGTTTGAAATAAGTTTTTTCAAAGTACAGAAAACGTCTATACCTATGCTCTAATAGAAGAGCAATGTGAGCCGCATTAAATCTTTTTTTCTGATATGTGATTCATATTAGGACTGAAGCAATTAATCGGATCAATTATGTTGAATCAATTATGAAATAATCGTCAAATAATTTAGTAATTGAATAATCATGTGGATAATCAACTGGAATTAAGAGACTTTAATTGACAAAGCCACCCACTTAAAGCATTAATTATATCAAAATTGTAAAAAAAAAATATATATATATATAAACATTTTGAATCTAAAATAGAATAAACTTTTTCTTTTGTCAATATGGTCTATCTAGAACTTCTTTAAGGAACCTATTAATTGATTTATCAAAAAATAATCGACAGATAAGTTGATTTGCAAAATAACCATTAGCTGCAGCCCCCCAAAAAGTTTTTAACTCCCCCAAAAAACAGATTTTTCAATGGCACTGTAATCTCCCATTGCTCATTAGTCAATAATAATACAGAAAAAATGGAATCCACTTTTGAGGTTATCTTTTTTTTTTCTCCAAAAAACTTAATTGAACACTTCTAGTGACAGTCACATTAACTATTGCTCCCATAAACAGCGCGCTGTTGCGGTAACTCTACGTCCTACTTCTGTGTGGGCGGGTCACTTTGATGTACTAAACTGTTCAGAATAAAACCTGAAGGAAGTCGCATTTAATTCAAAGTCTGAAAGCCCACCTGCTTAATTCTGGCTCTCCAAACATATTTAGTTACCTATTTACCTGAGGTGTCAGGAGATAGGAAATTGTCTTGTAATCGGCCGTTGATGGTTTGAACCCAATCTATGTCTGTCTCTTGTTCTTGGAAATCTTGAAAATGTTAATTTACTGTCTGAAAAGCTGTACTAAATGAAATTTGGTTTTGTATAAAGTCTGCGTATTCAAAATTACAATACAAGTTGTCTAAGTCTAAGTTGTTGTGTCCTTGGGAAGACTTTATCAACTTTGCCTGCTGTCAGTGGTCGGTGGCCCAAGATGCCGATTAGATGGCAGCTTCTCTTCTGTCAGTCTCTCCGAGTGCACCTGTGCCTCCAATGTCACTTCTCATTAGTGGGTTAATGTCTGCTTTCCTTGCGACCAATTTGAAGTCCTTGATCTTCATCAAAGCACCCTTAAGTGTAGCACATTTAAATGTTTTACAAGGAGAACTGTCTTGTCTATATAGATATTTATATTTTGCCCGCATATAAATGTCTGAATATGAGACAATTAAATGTTTAATGTTAACTATTTGTATGCAATCAACACATAACAGGCAACAATTCAATCTTGTAAACTATTGTATTGTTTTTGCAGGCTGAGGAGGCCTACCCAGTGGATCAGGAAAATCAGGGGAACACCCTTGCATCTGAGGCCCCCCTGAACCCCCCTCCAGAAACTCAGGAGAAACCCAGTATTAACGGAGAGTCCCCGGAGGCAGTTAAAATCGAGACCCCCCCTCCCACCAACGGCCACTCCACTGCAAAGACAGCAGACACAGAGCTGTGAAATTGCCCAACAGCTGCTGCATTCCAGGAACTTCCTCCTGCTAACACTTTTATCTCCACCGATGCATACATGCCCACACAGAGAAAATTGGCAACTCATCCTGCTTAACCACAAAGGGGATTGTCCTCTGCCTCTCAGGCTTTTTGCCTCAACAAACATCAGGAAAACTAGTCTGATTATGATAATATTGGGAGAGAAAAAGCTCAGTGACGAAGACTCAGACCCTGGGTTTTTGAAGCAAGACCAACAAGAGGAGGTCCACATTTTTATTTTTACATTAATCAGCTCTGACTGTTATGACTGAAGTCAGCAAAGTCTAACACGTCTCATCTGGTTGTGGAAATCTCAATCTTACAACAATGCATGAATACATTTAAATATTTCTTTTAAATTTTAATGTTAAGTGGGAAAAGAAAAAAACAAACTGCTCAATTTGAGAAATCTGTTTACAACTCTGACTAATAGAAGAAACCCACTGTGTGTTTAATTAATGTCTCCAACTTCCATATAGCTGTATATACAGTATCAGTTCATGCATCTAGACTTGTCTTTCTTTTTTATGTTACCTGCTATGAGGACTTGATAAAGTGTGAAAGATTTTTTTGAGTAACTTTTCATGATGATTGTGAATATGAATGTTACATTAGCCATGAATTCTGTACAGTTTTTGAGATTAGATGAATGAGCTGCAGAGGAAGACAAATCAAATGTTCTTTTCATCTTCTTTCTTTTGAAGAGTTTGAACCAGCTGTCAAATTAAACTGTGGGGAGATTAACCAACAAGAGAACAAGAACAAAAAATAATGACTCTCAGCTTTTTTTTGTCCTGTTTATCATTGCTATTCTGGTGTCAGTATGTAACTGTTGTTTATTCCTATTGTGTGTAGATGTATTTTGGCCTCATATGTCAGTTTATAATCCATAATCAACCTTTTCCAACTAAACAATGTTTGATCTTTACCTTACTTAATGTTGTGAAAGCTTTATTATTATTCCTATGTTTTATATTCTTTTTTATTTTTTGGGGGGGTCTTTGGAAACTTTTTGTAACTTTTTTGGATTAAGATTTTGTAATGCCAACATCACAAAGCAAATTCACAACAGCTTGAATTTTGCAAAAACAAATAAATAATCAATGTTTCTCCTAACACTTCTTCTGGATTATTTTTTCCAGCTCTCTCTGTGAATATGGTTTTACACAGTCTGAAAATGTAAAGGAAAGTTAAGAGACTAGATTTGATCTTTCCAAGTTTGTATGAAAAACTCAATTTATAAATAATTTAAATAATATTAATCATTTAAATCTTTTATGTTGGTTTTGGTTTTCCGTCTGTGTTTTTAAATTAGGATATTCTTAGATTAGCGTTTTTAACTTGACATATGGATCTGAGATCCACTACGGTTTTGATGCTTAAAGATCTCCTCCCTGGGCACCCCACGGTGGCAGCCCACTGATCCCCAAGGGGATTGGTTAAAGAGGTAAATTTCTCCAATGTGAGATGAATAAATTTAAATGATCACTGTTATTATTATGTTTAATGTATCGCTAATGTTTTCTGCACTGTGTGCTGAAAAATGTGTCTCACCTCTCAAGGAGCTTTTACAGACTGGCACTGGCAGAAGCCGGCCATCCATAACCAGCCATCAACAGGGGGAGGGGCTATTGCCCCATTGCAAGTAAAATCCTGCAACTTAAAAAATGTTACATATGCATGTCACAAAATATGCTTTACATGAAAAATGGCTACACACAGGTAGTAAGAGGTGGGTAATATTGTTGCATCACAACTGCCAAGTAAATAAAAAAGTTAAAGCTGTATCAGAGCCTAATATCCTTGAAGAAATATTTAATATCCTTTCCTCAAAGACACTATGAGAATCATGCCATTGAAGTTGCAGAAGCAAAAACTTGCGCCTAAAAGGAGTTTTGAGAGCCCCTGAAGAAAGACTCAGTCAACCTCAAAGTGGTTCTAGCAAACCATCAAGCCCCTTTTAAGTGAAAAGCAGTGCTTCACTAAAACTGTTTTTTAGTGGGAGCATGAAGCTGCTGACCTAAACTAAACACAAGGTTGGATGACGAAAGGAATACTTATAGGCAGAGGCAGGGATGGGGCGCTCAAAACCAAACATGTTCATCACCCAGGCTGAAGTCACCAAGGCAGTCAAAGAACTTTGCGTCATTAAGGCTTTGGGGGTGAATGAAATCCTCCATGAGTAACTTAGGTCTGGATGTTGTTCTGCTTTGGTGGCTGATAAACCTCTTTAACATCAGGATTGCCTATGTAAGGGGTGCGATAAAGGAACCTTTTGTCAGGACTCAGAAAGAGGATCCAGTTATTGAAGCAGACAGACAGTTTAATATCTCAAAAACAGTTTATCAAGAAAAACGGATCTACAGTGAACATTGAGGACATCGAAGGCAGGTGACTCTGGTCTTATAGTTCAATCCATGCCCAGAGGACAAGATTTGTTCCAGCTGGTTGGCTGCCGACAAGACATGGTGGATGCTACACAGAGAGTCACAGACGTTGAAGTCCGGGAGGCTGGAGAACAAGTAGGAGTTCAGAATCAAGGAGATGAAGAAAGGCAGGATGGCGAAGCCAAAGCTGGTGTTGAGGACATGCTCAGGAGTCCAGGCAAGGAGGTCAGAGATCCGAAGAGGTACCAAAGGGAAATTCAAGACGGTGTCATGAAGCAGTTTGAAGATAAGTTAGGCAAATGAATCAGAATGGGAACAGGTAGGCTCTGAGCTCCAAAGGCAGAACAGGTCAGGATCAGCCAATCCGAAAACACTTTGATTCGCAAGAAGTCTCTCACCAAGAGCTTGAATAACCTGGCACTGATGACTGGTAGAAGGCAGGTTAAATAGAGGCTGGAGCAGGTAGAGCAGATGAATGGTAATGAGAAACTGGGCAGATCTAGGCAGGTGAATGAAATGAGTAATCAGGCCAGTCATCAGTGCCAAGGTCATGACAACTTTAGAACCTCAGCTTCAGGAGGAGCAGTGTGGTTCGTATCCTGGCAGTGGAACACTGGACCAGCTAAACACTCTCTGCTGGGTTCAAGAGAGTTTGCCCAAACATTCCACATGTGACTGGAGTTGAAGTTTTTCTATAAGATGTTTCGCCTCTCATCCAAGAGGCTTCTTCAGTTCTTCTAGAAAAACTTCACCTCCAGCTGCCTAAACTGAACCTTTTAAAGCTTGATCATGACCTGGATGACTGAGAATATTCACAGATATTCCACGTGTGCTTTTTAGACCGAGAGAAGACATTTGAATGTGTCCCTCATGGTGCCTTGTGGGGGACACTACAATCTTATGAAGTTGGAGCCCTTTATTAGAGGCCATCTGGTCACTGTACAAGGAAAGCAGGACCCTGGTTTGCATTGCTGGTATTAAATCTAAACTGTTCTCAGTGCATGTTTGTCTCTGCCAGGGCTACCCTCTGTTCCAGTCCCATTAGTAACCTTTATGGACAGGATATCTACGTCCAGCCAAGTGCAAGGGAAGGGGTATAGTTTGGGGATCAGCCAATTTCTTCCCATCTTTTTGTGGACATTGTAGCTTTGCTGAATCCCTCCCGCCAGTCCTATAGAATGTGGTAGTTTGCAGTCAGCAAGGATGATGATCAGCTACTCCAAGTCCGAGGCCATGTTTCTCTACCGCAACAAAGCTGACTTGCATTCCTCAGGTCGGAGGAGTTTTCCTCAAATAAAGGAGTTTAAGTATCTTCAGGCCCTGTTCATGAGGGATGAGAGAACCCTGTGGGAGTGGGAGTTCAATGGGCTGAATGGTGCAGCTGCCACTATGATAAAGACACTGCAGCGGATTGTTTTGATAAAGAGAAAACGTGAAAAAAGGCAAAAATCTCAATTTACTGCTCTTTATTATGTTTGATACTTTATTAATTAAACGCTGGACTCCTTGGTTTATTACATAGCTGCATCCTTTGAAGCACAATGCTTAGCAAGTTGGAGAAACAATTGTGCTCTTCATATCTACATGAATCCTGCTTAATCTGGAAACATAGTCAACTGCTGTATAAAATGACCCTGCATGAAACAAGAACTGCATATTTCAGTCAATTAGTAGAGATGAATAAGAATAGTCCTACATTTCATTTTAATACAGTTGCCAAGCTCAAACAGAGCCATAGTCTGTTGAACAGTCTCTTCCCTCTGCTCTTATCAGTAATGATTTCATGGGATTCTTTATACGTAAATAAGATTGATTCTATAAGAAATGATCGTTGGCACCTTTTGCTTCCTCTCCGAAAGCGGACTTATAGGTTATGTGTTCAGAGTTGACATGTTCTGCATTTTCTGAAAGAACAACAGGCAAGTTAAAATGATGTGCTTTTCTTTTTGCTTTTTATTTTTATTGTGTTGTTTCAAATCAATTGATATGTAGCAATATAACTTGCTTTGTAATCCTCATTCCAATATGATTATTACTTAATATAGACTTGAATGTTTTTGTTTTGTTTGTTAAAAAAGAAATCACTTTTAACTTTTTAACTTTTTGCTTCAGGACATATAACTGAATATCTAGAGATCAATATATGAACATATTTCCAAACATGCTTGCGCCTACAGACATCTGTTCCATGATACATAGGGAATTTAAATCCCACACAGCCCATAAGGTTGGACAGCTGGTTTACATAAGCAGCACCTATGACATCACGCTGTTTCGTCTTGACCCGCTAGGGTGTGGCTGCAAAAACATTTCCCCCTCTGTCAATTGAAAGCCAAATAATGTTCTCATGAGCCTTCAGTATTATTTTCACATTGAGATAGGATTTTGGATTTTTTGTTGTATAGTAGAAATTAAAAATGTGCACAGCATCCTGCATTTCCCTTCATGAGAGTATTACTAGCTGATTTTTGAGTGATTTTGTTTAGAAATTCCACCCTGCAATGTGCCTTTCCATATCATCAGCAAAATATTTCCCCAGAACCATTTTGCATTCCAAGAAAGGTCAGTATGTGAAGCATTTACTGTAAAAATGAATAATATTTACCATAGAGACCCATGAAGGCCTCTTAAAGGTTTCATATGGAGCTTGGCACATCACATCAAAATAAGGTTGTAAGACTCATCACAAAACATATATTTATATGTTTCAGGTTCCAGAACAAATATGGCCAACACCAGCAGAATCAGGAAATAGTGGCCCTGTGAGA